AAACAACTCTCTGAAGTCACACAGACGTTTTTGGAGGCTGGACTGACTCAGGACACAGCTTTAGTATTGGAAGAAATATAGAATTAGAATATTTTATAGAAATAAGTAAACACGTCGTGGTAATAATAAACTATTATTGTTTAAAAGAGGAGACCAGTGGGTTGGTTATTGCAGTGGATTTTCTGCATTTAAAAGGTTATTTGCACGATGACGTCTTTTTACTTGTAAGACACGAATTCATTTGATTTAATTTAATCCCTATGAGGGTTAAATAAATAACTTAATTTGCACAAGAAAGCAAAACCCTGAAGGATTCTGGAAGTGGTTGTGGTAGTGGTAGTGGCAGTAGCAGTGGCAGTAGTAGTAGTAGTAGTGGCAGTGACAGTAGTAGTGGTAGTGATAGTGGCAGTGGCAGTGACAGTGGTAGTGGTAGTGAATAAACTAAGGTGGGGTGGGGGCCCCACCCGGCCTGCTACGCGGAGGTAAAAGTAGCAGGTGTGCACCCAACATAAGAAAATACAACGTGTGCACGCAAAGTGAACAAAACAAAGGAGCACACAGCTAGCATTGATGGATATAAGTATAACATAGTATTGATTATAGTTACTAACAATGAAAACTTGTTATCACCGAAGTTTGTAGAAACAACCGAAGGTCAGTTATTGATGTAATCTAAGATAAACAAGGAGCTCTTGAGCCAGAGCTGTGTCACGCAATGTTCTTTATGTGCGATAGCAACATATTTGCCACCCAGGACAAAGTAAATCATAATTAATCAATGGCTGAAGTACGCTCTAATTAGTTAACTCTATTTTACGAGTAAAATGTCCAGATATTATCTATGACGCTACATAAACTTGACGTTAGTAAGGATTTGCCTTGAAAAGAGCAATTCACAGCTTCACGTCAAACAAATATCTCACCCAAAGCATTGTATCAAACGTTACAAACAACGAAAACGAACTTTGAAAAAACTGTTAAGTTGACAAGTCTTCAAAACAGCAATTGCAATCCGTTTTTATCTCCTTCACGTTTGTCCATCAGTTCCTCCTTTTGTATATGCTGTGTTTTCACATCTATCTTAATGTTTTGAGGCTTTAATTCGATTTTTAACTTATTTGGTGAGTAGTGTAGGAGCTGCTCGTAAGGCTTCTTCTATTCGGTCCCAGGAAACAATGACGTCATTCTTTCAATTGTTTTAATTGTGAAAATAAAATAATCAGCAAGTCACGAACATGGGACAAAGAAAATGTCTGAGTCCCCGGCGGGAGTCGAACCTATGACCTCCCAAACACCGGGCGGGCGCTCCATCCACTTGAGCTACGGAGAACTCATGGAGAGTCAAGGCCATATACTAGTTACATAGTTGGCATTAGCATTATATTAGTATTGTTTGGGGTCAGATTTAGGCACCATTGGTGACTTCTCTTCCGAGCAGCTGCTACATGACCCAATTTGGTGGCGGATTTCTCAGTTTGAATGATGCTAAATTTTGTGCCACGGCTCCGGATCCTGTAAGCTAGTGTTCAACCTAGTTTCAGGGTAAATACCCTGGCAAAAAGTTAACCCTAATGAAACTTCAAAGGGGGCTTTTTCTTCCCTCGTTTCCCTCGCACACTGTTTAGAAAAATAATCACCTTACTTTAGCATCGTTGCAGATAAATTTCTATGGCAGGTACGTAGAGCCGTTCTGTAAGGATGCGCGCATCAAGTGTGGCATTTCCGCACGCGTAGATAACCCAGCTTACCCTGAGAAAACAGCCGAAATTTCGCGACGCTAACACCTGTTTCCACGTGAAGTGACGAGTGAGAAACGAGCGCAGAAACTCCAGACTGATGAAACGTCACTTCCCAGATCTGGGTAGTACTTCTGCCTTCACTGTTTGAAAATTCGCTACAACCAATCAGAAGTACTACCCAGATCGGGATGAACGAAAACAAAAATTGGTCCCCGTTGGGAGCCGAAGTACCTCTCACTACGGGGGTGCGCACGCTCATGGAGTGAAATACCTTGTACGAAACTTGTGTATACGCGAAGCTCTAACGTTAGTTGATAAAAGATCAGCTCTGGATTTTAGGAAGTAAAGCAGGGATGGTGGAACAGGCCGAAAAGAACTGTTAACAGGCTTGTCACCATTGGTTCCTAGGATAACTTTGATGAGAACGCAGACGTCTAGAGATTTTAAGAACCACGCTTATCGATAACGCAAAAGTTTTCTCTATATTTGTCATCAAATGTTTATCTTTACTGCTCAAAAAAAAAGAAAGAAAGAAAGACATCTATGCCATGTTTAACCGTAAGGATAATTTTTTTCGTAGTTTCTATCTGTCGATTTCATAATTTGAGTAATTTTAATGCTTGAACCTGGCGTGTCGTAAACGTAATTCTTCGATTCTGAATCGACAGGAGTTATCGTGGCGGTGACTTTTATGATACCAAATATATGGATGGTATATGTAGTTGGCGTTGCATAGATTTAGGGTCGCGTTTAAGGTAAACGGCAAACATTAGACCCAAGGTGACAGGTGACATTTTCTTGAATTAGGAAATGAACAGATACAAACTGTGCATAAGCGTGCATAATAATTGTTATAGATAACAATTTAATCGGTTCCTGACTATGATGAATGTGATTATAAATCTCTTTGAATTATAATAATTATTTTTTGTTAAAGAGCAAGTAGATAATTAAGGAAAAACAGGAGGACCCTTGATAACGAAAGGATAAACAAAGTGTTCGTCGTTGAATTTATTATCTCAAATATACTTTATTCTTAAAAACCTGGTGAGATTACATGTATACAAATTACAATAAAACCTCCATGTGCGACCTTCTCGGATTCGCGTCGTGCTGTTCAAACTACTAAAATTAGTTTTCCTACTCAAAGCACTACTGAAAACTGGACCACCAAGTCTTGGCGCTTTATATAGGTCATATATATACAGATTACAAAGGAACCTCCATGTGCAACCTTCTCGGATACGCGACATGCTGTTCGAACTACTAAAATTACTTTTCCTACTCAAAACACTACTGAAAACTGGACCACCAAGTCTTGGCATTTTATATAGATTACATACATACAGATTACAATAAACCTCCATGTGCGACCTTCTCGGATTCGCGACATGCTGTTCAAACTACTAACATTAGTTTTCATACCCAAAGCACTAATGAAAACTGGACCACCAAGTCATGGCACTTTATATAGATCATATGTATACAGATTACAATGAAACCTGCATGGGTGAGCTTCTCGGATTCGCGACATGCTGTTCCTACTCAAAGCACGACTGAAAACTGGACAATCAAATCTTTGCTTTTTAGGTGGATCAGGGATCAACATTATACAATGAAATAACCTTTAGTTTTCAACTGTGATGGCTAGTTTGGAGTTTGGAGAAGATTGCAAAATTACTACTTCTATGTTCACGGAAAGATTCACTGTAAAATATATACAATTCTACTAAACTATAAACCTTGCAGTGCTGTCTGCATTTGCACTTCAATTTGCATTAAGAATCTAATAAAGTATTTTTTAGTTGTAGCCCTAGGGACTAATTAAGAAAGTAAGTTAACAAATAACCTAAATAGATAGGAAAATGTTATTCGTGTCGCAATTACAGTTGTATCATTGTCCGAGCTAACCGATGTACACTTTTACAAGGCTGGTGATTGGTGCTTTCGCAAGACATGTTAGAGATTAGAGTATTCAAGGTACCTCAACTTACACACACACACCCACACACAAACACACACACACACCCAGATTAAAATCAGCGGGAAAAATAATTAAGCCGACAAACATGAACAGCTGGGTCAAGCAAGTCAGTTCTCTTTTGAATTCTTCTAGTCTGGGTTATGTTCGTATGCTGAAGAGGTTGACCTTTACATTTGCCACCAGAAACTACGTCATTGGAATTCTGCGGAAGGGCTGTTTTGTTATTCCATGGTGTGTCGTTAATGTAATACCTGCAACAGTAATGTATAGAAAACATAAAAATTAGTAAAACACATATATTCATTATAAATGACTCCAGCTGAGGTAAGTGGCATTTAAGTTCATTTTACAGAAGGAAGAGGGATCCTCCGGCGTCATTGGGACGGAAGAGGTTTAATTACTTATTTAAGTTTATTTCACCGCTAAAACTTTCCAATTATTGGCATCATAACAAAAGCAGGGTGCACAGCTAAAATAGGTTTGAAACTTCTTTCCTTGATGACCTTTCGAATCTCAGTCTTTCCTCTTTGGTCCAAGTTTAGAACCAGTGTACTGCTGTACTTCAGTCAGTGTCCGCAAAAAGCACTCTAGTTACGGTCAAAACTCCATGTACAGTCCACAATTTGTAGTTTTCATTGTCTTCGATCAATTATCAGATCAAGATCAATTACTTGTGCTTCATATATTAGGAAAAGAGAAAAGATTTAAAATCATTCTGTGTTACTGTAGGAATACAGGGCTTTAGTGTTTTTGTTTTTAAATGCAAAGCCTCAGATATGCATAGGTTGTGATGTTGACTGATAAATACCGAAGTGTGGTCAAATAATTGTGGTGTTTACTTATATACATACATTTTTTTATTTTGTTTTGAGATAAAAGTACAATTATAGCATGCCCACGGGTAGGCGGGTCATGTTTACAGTGAAAAAAGACAACTTAATACAACTAAAAGTAACATTAGTCGACGAAGAAAAAAAGAATGATCTTAACTATAGCCTAACAACAAATACACATATGCCATAACGCGGAGCGCTAGCTGAAGCGTCCGGTCAGTATTGTTTAGTATCTTCGATGTTAAAAAAACGGTTGATTGATATTTTACCTCAGTCATTGTAAAAGCTGACTTCAGATTTAGTCAATAATGTAGCTTTTAAAGGTAAATACTGCTTTTTATTTAGTACTTAAAAGTACATAATGTAAAGTTGATAAAACTGCAATACAAAAAGACCTGGCAGACTTCCTATGGCCCTTATTATTAGAAAGCAATTACCTTCACTTTACTTTTCTTCACCAAAGTGGAATGACACGTCATCCCCAATCAGCATGAAAGGTGCCCACTGCCTCACTTCAGAGAAACCGTTCTTTCGCATCCACTTCATGGCCCGGTGAAGACATTCACTTGCACTTTCTCCTTGGACAAGGTTTTCGTAGAATCTTCTCATGAAGTGTTCTGTTGCATCGTCTTGTAAGGCCCACAATGCCACCAACACTGAGCGTGCACCCGATCCTAAGAATGCTCGAGCGATTCCAACAACGCCTTCTGTTTTGATCTGTCCACTTGCGGTATGGCAACAGCTAAGGACCACCAGTTTGGCTGACAGTCTAACTTGTGAGATGTCGGTCATTGTCAGTAAGTAGTCTGCTTCATGTGGAGGACGCATTGCGGAGTCAGAGGGGGTAAGAGCAATTTCTCCTCTTTCGGCATCACCATGAGCAGCGAAATGCACAAGACTCACTGAAGGTAGTCTCTGGAGCACCGCCTGCTTTGTTGCTTGCTCTCCTATTAAAAGGTGAGATTCAGGTAGTAGTCTTGCAATCATCTCTGCTTCCGCTTTCGCGCCAGGCAATGGACAGAGATACCTTGAATCTCCCTTGAAATACACATCCGTCACACTTGGCTCACCCACAATCAATGCACCAGTTTCGCTGTGAGAGCCCGCTGGACTGTCCAGAATGAGCTTGAGAGTCGTCAAAGAAGGGACAATACGTATCCTGAAAGTGTCTGATAAATATCGGTTACTTTCATCATGTAATGCTGCATACGGGACTTGGAATAAGCAGCGATCAGGAACAACAATGATTTCAGATCCTTCTAGCAAGTCACTTACGGGAGCAATCAACATGTTGTAAACCTGAAAAAGTGTTAGCGGTTCAGGGTCTGTGTTTACTTCTTCCTCATCTAAAAGAGGACGCAAGGATGAGAGACTATCTTCCAGATTTGCTTCGTTTGTAAGTTGGTTGGCGTACGAGGAGAAGAGTGATCGGTCCTCGCATTGCTCTTGAGGTAAAACGTGAAAATTTCTTGATAAGCTTTCCTTTTTAAAAAGGTCATCCACAGAGATTTTTCCGTGCTTGCTAACATAGCTTTCACAAACTTTCGTTGTTCGGAAAGCTATCGGCTTGCTTTGTTTTACAGTCCAAAGAAATATATTCTCACCATGGTAGGAAATGTATAGGTACGTTCTGTTACTACTTTCTCTGATGACCTTCAAGATGCCAGCAAACGATTCTGGATTGAGAGATACTTCTTTCTCCACAAAATATCGGTCTGCTACTAGGTCTGCTAGAGCTCTGGCTCTTCCAAGCTCAACAACGTGTAAAGCCTCATAGTGTTTTCCAGAAGAAGAACACAGTGAACTGAACAGTCGATAGGGGGAGCGTGTTGATCAAAAAATAATATCTTATATCGATCATTGTTTCCTAGAAAGTTAAGCAATCTCTCGCACTTCTCAATGCTAGCAAGGAGATTCGATAAAGCTTCAGATGTGTTTCCTGTTAATGCTAAAGAACAATAATTTAGATTTAGGTGAGCCGTAAACTGCACTTCGATGTCTCGAGTGTCCTTGCTAATTTCAATAGCTTTTCTAAAATATTCTTCAGCCTTGGCATGTTCACCGATAATTAGACACAAACATCCAAGGTTTCCGTAGCATGTCGCTTCTCCGGTTTTGGCGCCAATTTCTGTGCTGATGGTAAGTGCTTTCTGAACATATTCTTCAGCCTTGGCATATTCTCCGACAGAGTCAAACACGTTTACTAGGCTTATGTAGCACGACGCTTCTCCGCGTTTGTCACCAATTTCTGTCTTGATGAGAAGTGCTTTCTGAACATATTCTTCAGCCTTGGCATATTCTCCGGCAGAATGAAACACGCTTCCTAAGTTTGTGTAGCATGTCGCTTCTCCGTGTTTGTCGCCAATTTCTGTCATGATGGTAAGTGCTTTCTGAACATATTCTTCAGCCTTGGCATATTCTCCGACAGACTGAAACACGTTTCCTAGGCCTATGTAGCATGCCGCTTCTCCGTGTTTGTCGCCAATTTCTGTGCTGATGGTAAGTGCTTTCTGAACATATTCTTCAGCCTTGGCATATTCTCCGACAGAATGAAACACGTTTCCTAGGTTTATGTAGCATGACGCTTCTCTGTGTTTGTCGCCAATTTCTATCATGATGGTAAGTGCTTTCTGAACATATTTTTCAGCCTTGGCATATTCTCCGACAGATCGAATCACGTTTCCTAGGTTTATGTAGCATGTCGCTTCTCCGTGTTTGTCGCCAATTTCTGTCTTGATGGTAAGTGCTTTCTGAAGATATTCTTCAGCCTTGGCATATTCTCCGACAGACTGAAACACGTTTCCTAGGCTTATGTAGCATGACGCTTGTCCGTGTTTGTCGCCAATTTCTATCATGATGGTAAGTGCTTTCTGAAGATATTCTTTAGCCTTGGCATATTCTCCGACAGAATGAAACACGTTTCCTAGGTTTATGTAGCATGTCGCTTCCCCGTGTTTGTCCCCAATTTCTGTCTTGATGGTAAGTGCTTTCTGAAGATATTCTTCAGCCTTGGCATATTCTCCGACAGAATGAAACACGTGTCCTAGGTTTATGTAGCATGTCGCTTCTCCGTTTTTGTCGCCAATTTCTGTCTTGATGGGAAGTGCTTTCTGAAGATATTCTTTAGCCTTGGCATATTCTCCGACAGACTGAAACACGTTTCCTAGGCCTATGTAGCATGATGCTTCTCCGTGTTTGTCGCCAATTTCTGTCTTGATGGTAAGTGCTTTCTGAACATATTCTTCAGCCTTGGCATATTCTCCGACAGAATGAAACACTTTTCCTAAGTTTATGCAGCATGTCGCTTCTCCGTGTTTGTCGCCAATTTCTGTCATGATGGTAAGTGTTTTCTGAAGATATTCTTCAGCCTTGGCATATTCTCCGACAGAATGAAACACGTTTCCTAGGTTTAGGTAGCATGACGCTTCTCCGTGTTTGTCGCCAATTTCTGTCTTGATGGTAAGTGCTTTCCGAAGATATTCTTCAGCCTTGGCATATTCTCCGACAGAATAAAACACGTTTCCCAGGGTTAGGTAGCTTGACGCTTCTCTGTGTTTGTCGCCAATTTCTGTCTTGATGGTAAGTGCTTTCTGAAGATATTCTTCAGCCTTGGCATATCTCCGACAGAATGAAACACATTTCCTAGGTTTAGGTAGCTTGACGCTTCTCCGTGTTTGTCGCCAATTTCTGTCTTGATGGTAAGTGCTTTCTGAAGATATTCTTCAGCCTTGGCATATTCTCCGACAGAATGAAACACGTTTCCCAGGGTTAGGTAGCTTGACGCTTCTCCGTGTTTGTCGCCAATTTCTGTCTTGATGGTAAGTGCTTTCTGAAGATATTCTTCAGCCTTGGCATATTCTCCGACAGAATGAAACACGTTTCCTAGGCTTAGGTAGCTTGACGCTTCTCCGTGTTTGTCGCCAATTTCTGTCATGATGGTAAGTGCTTTCTGAAGATATTCTTCACCCTTGGCATATTCTCTGACAGAATGAAACACGTTTCCTAGGATTCCGTAACATGACGCTTCTCCGTGTTTGTCGCCAATTTCTGTCTTGATGGTAAGTGCTTTCTGAAGATATTCTTGTCCTTCCTTGTATTCACTTTTTTGGCAGTACAGTCTTGCTAGCAGGAAGGCTGTGTCACTTTCTTTCTTTTTTCTCTTACATTTACGAAGTAGGACTAAAAGTTTTTTGCCAGATTCTATAGCCGGGGAAAGTTTGTAAATAGCAGCATACCCACGACACAGACACTCGAACAGCAACATACTCACTTCTCTGACAAGGTCATTTTCTTTTTCTAAGGCTTTGTTATTTAGGAATGTTAAGCACTCATTCCACAGCACGATAGCTTGGACAACTCGATTAGTTCTCCAAAGAAAAACTGCAGCAATGATGCCGAAGGAAATCACTGGAGGTAGAACCTTGTCCATGAGGGTATTGTCTAAAACATATAAGGGTAAAAACAACACCAGAAAAATTAGCGAATAGCTATATGGAAGTAGAGTTATCAAGATTATATCTTGAGAAAAAAAATAAGAAAGGCAGTTCGAAATGTTATAATAATTTTGCCTGTGAACAGCCTCTCTGTTTGGGGAAAGGGTGAAAAAATCGCGTGGAGAGGGAAGGGAAAGGGTGAGAGCCTTTAGACAAACATATGAGGCCGCTATTCCGCCTTCTTGTCTTGTAATTGCCGATCATCTGTCAGCAAGATCGTTATCTGTCATGTGGATACATTGGAATGTAATCACTCTCGCGTGTAAAAAGGGGGTCGGTAGGGAACACACAACTTTTACCTCGTGCCAAATTACTGCTTTTTATTAGTTTTTTTCTCTTATGGGTAGATTATGCTCTGGAGGGTTTCGTTTTAGCTGAGAAAATGTGATTTTTGCCGCTCATTTCATACTGAGAGTTCGTGGCACTCATATTGTTTTTCCGCGGTTATTGTTTCTGGTCGGCGTGATTTGTCCTCTGAAGCAGGAACATTAGACTACGAGTAGTCCCCCATTTTTCCTCAGGGATAGTAGAGCGAGCGAAACACGAGCGCGCGTGAAAATCACCCCTTGCGAGAAAATGCGACACGCGGCGTGTCGTCTTTTCTCGCGTGGAGTGATTTTCACGCGCGCTCGTGTTTCGCTCGCTCTACTATCCCTGAGGAAAAATGGGGGACTACTCGTAGTCTACAAGAACATTCATTGCGGCTAAAAAAAGCTCATCAGTCAAGGGCAAGAAGACACCATGTTAAAGATCAGAAGACCTGTTCACAAGCGATTATTTAAATCAAATCGCGTGCTACGCCTGGGGGGGGGGGGACCGTCTCGCTTAGGGGTGTAAATTTCGGATTTTGGTCTCACTTAGGGTGTTCTGGGCAAAACGCCATCATATTTGGACGTGAAGGTCTCGTTTAGGGTTGCACGCGAAAAAATATAAAAACATATATTTGATATGTATATTTTTAATTCGTTTTATTTACCTTATTCATATAATCCAAGTTTTCTATAACATCAATACCTAAAGAAGACGTCTTTGTCCATTGTTTTACAAGAGTGTAATACGAAACTCGGCTGCTGACACGAAAGGATTAATTGATCACGGCTAAAAATATTCACAAGCGTGTTATTTTATTCTTGCCCTAATACCGAGTTTTAATGGTTCTTCCTTTAATTCGCTGATCGAGCTTCAAGCTGCTTGCATTTCAATTTTTACTGGAACATTGATCCCACCGCCAACACGCCATTTTCCTTTTGGATCGTCGAAGGGTCTCCCAATCACCCTGCTACAAACGTAAGTAATTTTCTGTTATTATTGAACAAAGTTTGCCGGGACAAGTCAAAGTCATGCCCCTGCTCATGCCACGAGTTGATAGGCATTTACGCTTTTAACATGTGATGGTTAAGTTAATTTCCCCCCCAAAACCTCAGTCTAAATTAGTTCTTAACGGGATCGTTGCTTACCATTTCATCCCGTCCTGGAAAGGCCAAAGAAAAACTCCTCTCCCACATCAACAGTAAAGCGACATTCCTGATAGCCTTTTACAGTACATGTAATGTTTGCCATTATTAAAAGTCTTTTTTTTTTTTTTTTTTTCATTTGTCTGTGTTTTAACATGGTCTCTTTTAGGGGTTTAATTCAAAATATCCGACGAGCATCCGCACCACCTTCATATGCGAAGTCCCCCCCCCCCACTCTGTGCCTACGAAAAAAAGCGATGTAAATCAAACCTGTCAACAGTCAGTGTTCTCACCAATAGGAGCTTGCATCAGGATGTGATGCACAGCAGGTGCCGTTGAACGACGGGCTCAGATGTTTATCTACAGGCTCTCACCCTTTCCCTTCCCTCACCTTGCGATTTTTTCACCCTTTCCCCAAACAGAGAGACTGTTCACAGGCTGTAATAATTAGCCTTTGGCCGTTTAGAAGTTGGTAGGAAAACATTTTTGTCTTATGAAAATGTAAGCTTTTTATTCTAAATATAAATAGCCTGCAGTGCAGGCGTATTTTGGGTGGGCGAAAGCTTGTTCATGTTCGTATTGTTGTAGCCGCCATCTTTGATTTTATGACAGAGGAAGATTGGGGAGAGGAAAAATAGTAACCCCTAGGGTGATGCGAGGGCAAAAGAAGGAAAGAGGGGAGGGGGAGGGGAGAAAAAAAATACGCCTGCCCGATATCAGTGTTCTTTTGGGAAACTCCTTACAATGGCAAACGGAGCTTCTGATTGGTGCGGCATAGGGGAAGTACATTGATGCCTGCCAATTAACTTTAAGTCTACATTGATTATTCCGTTTTCGTTTGCAATGAACTGCGGGACAGAATTATTCTGAATTCAGAAATGCCGGACGTAAATTCGAATTTTAACTCCTACTGTCGAAGCAAGTCTCTTGGAATTGGAGTGGCTGGGAATGTCGCGTGTATTGCGTAATAAGAAAGTCAAAACCATTTCTACACTGGCATCAGGAAAAGATTTGCTCGCAGTGCTAAAACCTTCACCATTTTTACCTCATGCCAAAATGCTGCTTGTTCCAATACGTTTTTTTTTTCTGACGAGTAGATTGTGGAGGTTTCAGTTTCACAGTCCATGTTTGGACTGAGCAGATGTGATTTTCTCTTCTCTCTTTCCGCCCTCTCCCCGCTCCCTTTGACTCGCCCCAGTTCCTCCTCTCCTCGGGAGTTTCAACATGGCGCTTTCGCGAGCAAAAATATTCGCGCACCAGAAGAAAACGCCTGCACTGCATGCTAAAATATAAACCGATTTGGTGAGGTGTCTTTTCATATTCAAGTCTATAGTACGTGTTTTTGCAGTCTTGTATTTACAGAAATCCAGTCTTTAGATTTCATTGCTTTTTCAAAACCTAATAGTTTCTGTAATAAAATGTTGAGTTAGGAACAACTATGACTGGAGGAAAGAACTCATTCTAAACAGTTTCATCCCATACACAACGAGACCCCCACAATGGGGGTTCATTGGTCTGCCGACTGCGCCTTTCTAAAGCCGAGGCTGTATAGTAACTTGTACCGTTATAAATAAAAATACCTAGCAAGTTTGCATTTTCAAACAAGAAACGATTGGCGTTATTTTTAACCAGGACTTTCCACAAGGCACCTGCTTCCCATAATATAACATGACTGATTAGATCTAACCGGAAATTCCAAAAATTATGGCCATTCTAGGGTCAACGTTTGGGGGTTTTAATAGATGTGTTTCTGTGAAAGTGAGTTGTATCACGTCAGTTGATGGTACTATACTCTGGTTAATGATCTGATTGGTCAATTCTGTCGCGATGTTATGTTTCTGGCAAGGCAAGTTAAGTTTCAGTTTCATTTCTGACGGATATTACATTTAAAGCCCTTCTAACTATCGGTATCCAAGTGAATATGTTTCTGTTTTACGTGGCGATCTACAAATAGTATATTCCTTTCTTGTAAGGAGAGACCTTTAGCTACCTTTCACACGTAGGGAGAGAACTGTAAAAAGTTGAAGCTTTTCTCGTTGGGACCGTGGGAGGCCATTGTTTCTGCAGCTCGATCCCGCGCAGGCTAACTAAACGGCTTGTCACCTGTGCTGACATTTTGAGTGTTAGCCGATTCATGGGTATAATATATTGAGTTCTCAAACATCATTTTAAAATTTCTGTTTGGCGACCAATTTATTGTTCGGGATTGTTCCGGATAAGACTCAGTTTCTGTGTTATACATTCTCATGAATTGACGCATATGATCACCAAGTAGAATTATGACAAGCATTTACTGGACCATTTATCTTTCTCCAAATTGCAAAAACATAAAGAAAAACAAATCGATCGGCCACCAAAAAATACAGCAGTGTCATGGGCTGGGTGGGCTATAGCCCAACCAATAATTCCGGCGGCTTATTTTTAGCATTTGTAACAGTACAGTTGATCCTCTTGACAACGGCCACCTTGGGGACAGACAAAAAGTGAAAGTTGTAGAGAGGTTTAAACAAGATTCGGTGTATGGACTATCCACCAAAAAAACTGGCTGTTGTAGAGAGGAGGCCGTTAGTGGAGGTTGGACTGTACTTCTAACCTTTGAGTTAAAATTAAAAGCACACAACATATTTTCGATGAAAGAAAATATATTCTCATAGTTGTACAGTCAGACCTGCTTTTTTCACTGTTTGCTTACAAATTTTGCTGAGTAGATCCATCAGGATTTGGCACCTTTGTTTAATACGTAGGCCCTTGCTATTTATTTTCAATTTTCTTTGTTTATACTTTTTTGAGCAGAAAACTGAAAGAATGGAGATAAAAATTGGACAAAATTTTCTCAGGATTGATAGAAATAAGCACAATGCCGATGATTTCGGAATCTCTAATTTTTTAGTTTAGATTTTCCGGGGGAGCATGACCCGGGCTCCCCGAGATAAACTCCGATTGCGCCATTCGTTGAACTCGATCTACGCGTGAGCTATACTTACAAATAAATATCAATAAAAAATAAGAAACTGAGAAGAAAAGTTGCTCCTACGTAATGCTCAGCAAGTTATGCCGGACTATTATCATTTTTAAAATTGATCACTAAATAAGCTCACCATATAATAATAAAAAATAACAACAACAGCAACTGACAACATTATCCAGCACTCCTTGCTGTTACAAAACTGTTTTTGATTAGTATACCCCTGAGTTATCCAAAACACTGTCCAAAGGAAGAGCAAGCCACAAGTCAATAATTTTTTGATCATGAATCCTCCGACTGGAGTGCTGTAACGGTTCATGTTTTGAGAAGGCCGTTTATCAGCGGTGAAAATGTATTGATTTGTTAGTTGTAACTTCCAACAACACTCGTATTAAAAAAAGAGCTGCAGTCACCCATAAATTGCCAACGGAAGTCACTGAGTAGCCAAAAAATACTGGTTTGCAGAATGATTCAGTCAGAAAGAAATAGTTTGCACAGACAAAGACACAGAAATAAATTGTTTGTGCCTTCAAAATTTCATCACCCCCTTCAAAAAATACTTATTCGCCCCTTATCTGAAGTTTCGCGTTACTGTACATCAGGGAATGGTCAGTGTCATAGTCAGGGCTGTGAGGGCTGTGTGTAAGCTTATCCTTGATGCATCAGTGATAGGATAGTTCGCCTTGTTAGGATGTGATCGAGCTTATGCCATGCCAATGTTTTGGGTAAGGTAAATCGAATATTCCCCTTTTTCGATTGGATTAATGAATCACTATCCGAGTAAAAATGACGCCAGAGTGGTTGATGTGTCTCTTTTATGTATATGCATGCGTCTTTCTTTAGGTGAATTTTATTTACCTTTTTAAGAGTTTGCGTTATCTGATGAATCTCTACTCCTATGTGATAATGGTCAACTACGCTAACACATACAGTTGAAAAAATATACGCCAACGTCTCTTTTTGGACGACATTATTAGTAGTACAGTAGAGATTAAATTTGGCCCCTTTTTGAGGAGGAATCTCACGTCGATGACGTCACAGGCTTTTGTCTTTATCTCATGGGTAAGATGACGTCATGCACTATTTTTAAGTGGCTTAACCCGTTGGACGCCACTTTTGAGAGGCAGCCTATTGAAGAGGGGTGGGCAGTGAGGATTATTGTAGACTGGGGCTATTTTAAAAGAGAGGCAACCCTTGATGGCTAATTTCATTTCACAAACGGTTTAGTGAAAAACTAAGTGAAGGATATGATAATTTTGTGTTGGGCACTTTAAGTATCTTGCTCGGCCGTGGTTGAGCCACAGCAGGAACTCCTGGCTACAGGGAGTCCGTACAATCCCTGCCAGAGCAGAATTTTTGTTTTTAAAGTAAATAATGTTAGGTAAGTATATCGATGTATATTAAAATATTAGCACACTTCCATGAAATATAAACGTTAGAGCGCTTTGGTGTATTGTCCGGAAAGGGATGCTTGAAGAACGCATAAACTGCACCTTGTCATCACTGCTGAAAGAACTAGCGGAGGAAGAGTAACTAATTAACTGCAACTCGTTCACATTAATTGTACAAAGCAAGAATCAGCAGGTCCTCCCACGTGATCTCTATTTCTTCCAAGTTCCGTTCATTCTTTCACGAATGCAACGCGATGGACATAAGATAGAAGATCGAGTCAGTAAGGATAGAGAAAAGGGGTAATTTCTTCTTTTCCTTAATAAAAGCGTTTTTCCTTAATAAAAGCGTTATGCGTTCCTTCTATTTAAATGTATGAGTGTCAATTAGACGTAACCTCGATATTAACCCTTAGTAAAAAATGCGAAATTTACGATGTCATAAAAAACGACACGAATGTCAGGCTCGGTAAATAGATGTAGGATGTGATAATCAGAATGACATGAGCGTTGGACAAAGGAAATATCCTATCCGCGAATCAAGATTTTTTTCTTAAGACTGTGAAATGTCACACATGACTGTAATCACAAGGAGAGGGATAGTTTTTAGATAGAAAGTGACGTTATATCCATTTTCCTCAACTGCTATCCTTATTCAAGGAGTCTATTGAGAAAAGTAACAGCTGAATAATTCAAGGACCTTGACAGTTTACCACATACCCGAAACTCTCGGCGACCACAGAACGGTATGGCCGCACTCATGCGCAGTGCCCTAAAGTAAATGGCACGCATGCAAGGCGAAGAAGGATTATAACACCTCATTGATATGGTTCGGCTCTTTCGAGTTGCTCTTTCAGGTTGAATTCATAATTTTTTAGGATAAAGACGCCTAAAATAGTGAATAAAGCTTTAAGAAAACGCCTGAAGAGAAGGTCTTTATACAAAACAGGCGAATGACAAATATCGTGCTTGCTTGGTGTTTTTTACTCGATTTTTCAGTTTCTGTGATCAGATTAAAAGGCATTCCGCGGCATGATTATTTCATAAGAACCCAACGAATGTATTCTGTAAAACATCTTTTCGAAGAAGCGAATATTGCCTAGAAATTCTTTTTAGCTAGAAGAAGAGTAAAAATTACTAGATGTTTGCTTCTACTCATTATGTACTTTTGAAAGTATTTCTATTAACCTCCCCATAAACGATTTTCGGAAGTTAGGTTTCATTTTTGAGATTACTCTCCAGATTTGGCAAGTGCTCGTTAGAAAGGACTAGTAAAATTTTAGTTTCGAGAACAGTGTCGGAAAGAATTCCTCGTTTTCGTAAAACTTTAAATAGCAATCGCAGTTATGGTTTTCGCACTTGAAATGAAAGAACCCAATAAATTTAAATTTAAACTCTCCCTATGATGACTTAACAGATAAAGAATTTACAGCACCACAGCCACTGCTTATCTTAGAATGCACTGCAAAACTTAAACAAGCATGTCCTCTACATTGCGTATATCAAGTTTTGATGCATTAACCGGAGAAAGCACTCGCTACGTCCGGTCCCTTCTCTATACAAACTGACCGTCAAAGTTTAATCACGCAAATTTTATTCAAATCAGTCTTGTCTTGGATTTTTATTAAATATGCCAATAATAGCTTCTTCGCTTATCTTCATAAAACGGCCTCTATTAGGTTATTATTTGATGCAGTTTTAACTAATTTGGAATTTTTATATAGCTCTGCGCGACATAGAAAACGGGAAAGGCCTGGTATGGCATTGGCTATATAGCGTGGAGCCATACCGTTCATGAGTATAATCTTGAAAGCCCATGAAGTCATCAGGTTTGCAGCACACATCTTTATTTTCACAACATTATTTTATCGTTAACGTGAACCTTAAGGCTTTCTTTGCAAAGCCACTTTAGGTCGAAAGTGACGAACTCCTT